ATATTATAACTTTACACACAAAAGCATTTTCTTATAATAAAATACTAGATCAATAACAAATGGTAGTTATACACCTTCATTTAATATCTTTCTTTCTCTCTCAGACAGAAAGAAACGAAAACATTTAAGACCTTTATTCTGTAGGAGGAAAACATCTTTCCCAAAGTGATTTTACAAAGATTTTCTTTCAAGCTACTCCATAAATATTTGGAAACCTCTCCTAAATCAAATAATCTTTTACTTGATATGTTTGGAAACCTCTCCTAAATCAAACAATCTTTTATTTGATATGTCAGAAAAAACACAGCCAAAGATGTAGTAGACAGATAGCAGAATGGAAGGGAAAAGAAGAGCCGTATTGCTTTAGGAGAAGCCAAGTTTATTAAATAAGAGCTAAATCAGCTTTGGTTATGTCTGGATGCAATTCTAGTGCTTAATCATTGCTTTTTTGTTTGTTTGTTTCCAGTGAGACAAGTATAAGTTTTTTACAAAGCTGGTTTATTTCCAGTTTGGATGGAAAGTGTAGAATAAATATCATACAAATATCTTGTAAGGACTAATTGCCAAGAAAATCACTGACTCACAGTATAAGGTAGAGCGAGGGTGTAGGGAAAGAGAGTAGGGAGGCGGGGTGTAAGGTTTAAAATATGGCATCTATTCGGGTTGTTTGTAGCAAGTTTCTGGCCTGAAAGCTCTTCTTGTGCTAGGACATGTTCTGGTTACTTTGCCAAGTGTTGGTGTCAGGGTTCATAGTCATATAAATACACAGTCCAAGCATTAAGACAGAATTCATAAACACTCTACACAGTACTGGTATGGGGGGAACTAAAGTAAGTGAGGTTAGTTTGGGGATAATTTTTGTCACTCTACTACTCTTTCTTCACCTTCACCTGTCCTTAGCATCTGTTCCCCACTCAGACCTGCTTCCTCTATAGGTCGTCACACTCTAGAAAACTCTTTCTTTCAGGACTTCCTTGACCTAATAATACATGTATTCAATTTCCTTAAGGTTCTTATCTCTGTTGAAGCTAATCTGATAAACTAATATCTGCTGAGTTGTTTAATAACAAATAATAAATTCTACCTTGCCCATCTAAGAATATAATTTTACATATTAGCATCTTGTTAAGCTTTATCTCAAAAGAATGACTAAGATTGAGTATTTTATAAAATAGAGCAGCTGATTAGTACAGAGAAAATATTAGACTAAGCAACCCTGAAACGTGTTGCTTTCTGGGCATATTTTTTAACAAGGGCTTTCAAAGTTGGCATCAAAACCTTATAAAAAGCAGTTGAATGAGCTACTAAATATATGCAACATTGAAAGAGAGCTTGGTCCTAATTAACTCATAGTTTTTTTCCACTTGGTATTTTTTTTCTTAACTTTAAAATATTTAATTGGCAAACAAAAATTGTATATATTCAAAGTATACAGTGTGATAATTTTATATCCCTACACATTTTATAATGATCACCACAATCAAATTAATAAACACATCCATCATCACGCATAGCTACCTTTTGTGTGTGTGTGTGAATGTGTGGTGAGGTTCACTTAAAATATTCTCTCTTATCAAATCTCAAATATATACAATAAGGTACAATAATTAACTATAGTCACCATGCTGTATGTTAGATCCCCAGAACTTGTTCATCTTATAACTGAAAGTTTGTCCTTTTGACTAACACGTCCACATTTTCCCTATACTACAGCCTCCTGCAACCACCATTCTACTCTCTGCTTTTATGAATTCAACTTTTGAAGATTCCACATACAAGCGAGATCATTCAGTATTTGCAGTATTTGTCTTTCTGTTCCTAGCTAATTCCACTAAGCATAATGTCCTTCAAGTTCATCCACATTGTTGCAAAAGGCAAGATTTCCTTTTTTAATGGCTGAATAATATTCCTTTGTGTGTGTGTGTGTGTACGTTTTCTTTACCTTTCAATGAACACTTACATTGTTTATGTAGCACATCTATTGTGAATAACACTTGAATGAACACAGGAGTGTAGATACATCTTCCAAATACTAATTTTATTTCCTTTGTTTATATACCTAGAAGAGAGATTGCTGGTACATGTGGTAGTTCCATTTTTAATTTTTTGAGGAACATCCATACTGTTTTCCACACGGTTGTATCAATTTACAGTTCCATCAACAGCATACAAGGGTTCCCTTTTCTCCACGTTCTTGCCAATACTTGTTATCTCTTGTCTTTTCTATGACAATCATGCTAACAGATGCGAGGTGATATTTCATTGTGGTTTTGATTTACATTTCCTTAGTGATGGGTGATGTTGAGCACCTTTTCATATACCTGTTGGCTATTTGTATGTCTTCTTTGGAAAAATATCTATTTGGATCCTTTGCCCACTTTTTAATCAGGTTACTTGATTTTCGCTTTTGAGTTGTGTGAGTTCCTTACATATTTTGGTTATTAACTTCTTACCAGATCTGTGATTTGCAAATATTTCCCCCATTCTGTAGGTTGTCCTTGCATTTTGTTGATTGTTTCCTTTGCTGCGCAGAAGCTTTTTTGTTTGATGTAGTCTCACTTGTTCATTTTTGCTTTTGTTGCCTGTGCTTTGGATGTCATATCTAAAATATCATTTCCAAGACTAACGTCAAGGAGCTTTTCCCCTACATTTTCTTCTGGTTTTGTGACTTCAAATCTTCCATTTGAGGCTTTAATTTTTGCGTATGGTGTAAGAGAAGGGTCCAGTTTCATTATTGAACTCCTGATCTCATGAACCACCTGCCTCAGCCTCCCAAAGTGCTGGTATTACAAGCGTGAGCCACCGCACCTGGCCCAATTTCATGCTTTTACTTGTGGATATCCAATTTTCCCAACACCACTAATTGAATGGGCTATACTTTTCCCATTGTGTATTATGGCACCCTTGTCAACTATTAGTTGATTATGTATGTGTGAATTTCCATCTGATAGTCTTATAGCTATGAAATGCTATAGTGAATGAAAATATGTGATAGTAAGTAGTTTAACCTTCACTATTTTCTAGTGTTCATTTCCCGGATGAATACTACATTACTTTCAAATGGCGAAAACTCCAATTGCTTTTGCACCAACCTAGTAGATACTTAACATATTAGTAGTAATACTTTTGGTTGCAAGTAACAAATTCCCAACTTAAATTAGCATAAACCATAAACTAGATTTTTTGGCTCACATATCTGAAAAGTCCAGGTATATTTTGATCAAGGCAGTCTCTCAGTTTCCTGTGATTCTCTCAGCTGTTCCCTCCTTTCTATTCTGGCTCCCATCATATTCACAAAATGGTTGCCAATAACAGGGCAACCAGGCCAACAGGTTACTTGGTTCACATCCAAGAAGAGAAAGGGTGTCACATTCTATGATCATTGAACAAAAGTCTTGAGATTTACTCTGATTAGGCCAATCACTGTGGCCATGAAGAAGACAAATGCTGATTGATCTGGGTTTGGGAAAAAGCTCTTATGGAACCAATATCTGTTTTAAGTGAGGTAAAATAATATAGCTTGAAATTGAGATAGAGTCAGTTCTTCCAAAGTTCCTGGATACAGTACAGTGGGGAAGAAATATTTCTAAAGGAAAATCTGAGTGTATTTTGTAAAGGTGAAATAACTATTTTCTTGCCTGGTGGTGACAGCCTACAGCTGTCATGTTCCAACACCCAACTTTATTGCTACCAGAGGTTCTTTACCCAAATATAACCTGTTTACCTTGCTCTGGTATCTAAAATTGTTATCTGTACATTTATTGCTTATTTGCTTTAACCTTGTCCCAACAAGTTGCTTTTTAGAGTCCTTAATACAGCTTACAGTTAGAAACATTTCCAGGTACTTATATGCAAATTCAATAATTGTTTCAATCTTAGAAAGTGAAATGGCTGGATTTTGCTCTTCTGGCCCTAGCTGTGGGTCTGTCTTCACTTACATGCTACAAAGTTCAACTTTTGAAAAGGGAGAATTTGTGTGGAGCTTTACGTACTGTCCCAGAAGGGCAGACATGGGTGAGTCATTGCTGTGACAACATGTAGATATAAGAGCAGCCCTTGAAGAGAAGGGTTAGAAAGGTTAGGAGTTGGGAAGAGTCCAATGACTATGAAATTTTCCTTTTTTTCCAGTAGAGAATTAGAATATCATTTCTTCATCAACTTAAATTAAAGCAAAATAAATCTAACCCCATGAGTTTTAATGGCTATGTACTGGAAATCTAAGGGATTTTCTGGCTGACACCTTTCCCCTCATTTTCATACCTGAGAATCAGAGGACCTTTCCTATAATCTCTTCCTCTTGGCACTGTTCATTGGTCCAGGGACAGGCACAATCCCTGAAATGTATCAAGTGGAGTCCTTAGAAAAATTTTAGAAATGGAAACTCAGAAACGGAAGTTTCTATCTTTTAATATGCCAGGAATGTAGCTATAAAGATAGGAGTGTTGGAAACAATTAGGACCATGTTTTCTACCCTGTGGATGAGAGAAGGTGGCAGTCATCACTAGTCTGATATTTAAGTTGAACTAGTCATAAAATATATTCAAGATCCAGTAAATGTCATTTAATTCTAATAAGAAACATAAAAAATATGAAATGCAATTAGGTGGTGAAAAAAGTTGGCTAAACCCTCAGATAGCAGAATTCATTTATTCAAATTCAATGAAAATATTAAGTAAAGGGGTGTCTTGAGCCCTGTTGTCAGTGACAGGAGAGGTATCAATCTGCATGACCCTTCTTTCAGGTCTGTCATCCTTGCCCCAAATCACAGAAGTCAATAAGCACTTTTAACATACTGAGATGGTAATATTATTTCCTTCTTCAGTTAACAAAATTTACTTTTGAGGGGGGCTTAGAATTAAATATAGAAATAGTTAAGTATATAAAATCCATAGTATTAAGGCTCTGGTATTAAGATAAGAGCAATATATTCATATTTCATTATATACTATTTATAACGTTTAATAGCTATCTACATTAGTTGTCTATTGTTATAAAACAAATTACCCCAAAATGTATTGACTTAAAGTAACAAAACTTTATTATTTCATAGTTTCTGTGGGTCAGGAACCAAGGAAAATATTTGTTGGATGCCTCTGCCTTAGTGTCTCTTCAAGGCCGCAGTCAAGGTGTTGGCTGGTGCTGCAGTTTCATCTGAAGACTCAACTGGGAAAAGATCTGTTGTCAAGCTCATTTTATGGTTGTAAGTAGAATTCAGTTTCTCATGAGTGGTTGTACTGAATGCTTCAGTTTCTCACTAGTTGTTTGCTGAAGGCCTCGTTCAGTCCTTTGCCACAAGGGCCCTCTGAGGGCAACTTACTTCATTAGATCCAGCAATCAAGAGAGGATGAATGGTCACCATAGACAGAAGCTAGGTTTTGTTGTTGTTGTTGTTGTTGTTTTGTAACCTTATCTTGGAAGTGACGTGGTTTCTTATGCATCCTGTTCTCTGGGAGGGAGTCTCTAAATCCAGCACACACTCAAGGGAGGGGGGTTACGTAGGAGTGTGGATATCAGGAGACAAGGATCATGGGGGGATATCTTGGAGGCCACATAGCATATTGGCTTATTAGAGAACCTGACAGTTGAGACCTTTGAATCCCATTCAAAATTATAACTTAAAATTTGATTTGGACTTGTTATTTATAGTGAAAAACCTAAGAGAATTGTTCTAAGATTATAGAGAGTATTGGGATTTTTGAGATAACTTTAGAATTATCATTTTTATGAATTTAATTTGTCTGGTTTATTAGAGTGATTCAAGTACCTTGGAAAGTTTTGCTTATCAACTTAGGCAAGTAAAAAGTAAATCAAATACGTTAACTTTATAAGTGCTATCTAAAATGTTTAAGACAATCAAATTAACTAAATTGTAAGAAGCCTGATTGCTTAGTGCATTCTGCTATCCAAGTTACTCAAACTTTAGTCAAAGAACAATTTGAGAGTAATTGTTAAATTTTACTGAATTTATAAATAGAATTATATGATGTATATAAATTTAAGGGCTTAAGGTAAACTAAATTTGAGAACATTTTACTTTGACAAATTGAATATTAATTTAAGAAAATCTCAGTAGTCATGATTTGTTCTTATGGTGTAAAAATATATCTATTACATATAACATAATTGGATTTTTATATATACATATACACATATATATACACACACACGCACATACATATGTGCCCATATGTATGTATAAATGTCCTCAGAGAAAATAAAATCTTACATTGACAAAAGCCAGTCTTCAGAGAGGGGAAGAAAGAAGATTTAAATGAACCAGAAGAAAGGAGGAGTGCTAACACTTCTGGAGAGCCTAGTTCCAGTTGTTCCTGCCTTTAGTGACATTTATATTCTTGAGTTCTGTAAGATACCTTAGTCATTACACTTAAATTGGAGATGATTTTTTTTTCACTTGAAACAAACAGTCCTAACTCATCTATATATTTCCTTGACTCTCTGTTGCAGAGTTGTAAATTTGTGAAATAGCACAAAGCCAAGTTGAAGACAATATCTTCCCTAATAATGGTAGTGCAATGAGAGCCAGTCAGAAAAGCTCTCCACCTTGGCAGCAATGAGACTAAGACTTTTATGCCTGAATTGCTATCTTTCTTTTCCAGGTCAGTACATTTCCTCATATATTAAAGTGGATTTAATATCTGGTCCTTAACTCATGTGGATATGGGAAAGTAATAATAAATATTACTAATAAATAATAATAGTAAATATCAAAATGTATTGAAAAGTGATTCTAGTGCAAGGTTGAAACTGTTAGTTACATTTCAATGATCTTTCCAAGGGAGTTTTGTAGTACTCATTCATTTTGTAGTGTTGGAATAATAATGGTAACTGTCTTATACGATTATTAAAGGATTTGAAATGCAGTGCCTGATACAGTATCTGGAACAGAGTATGCCTTCAATAAACATGAGTGATGCTGCTGATGTGTTAAAAAATTATTTTTAGACAGGGTCTTGCTCTGTTGCCCAGGCTGGAGTGCAGTGGCACAATCGTGATTCACTGCAACCTAGAACTCCCAGGTTCAAGTGATCCTCTTGCCTCAGCCTGAGTAGCTGAGACTATAGGCTTGTGCCACCATACCAGGGTTTTTTTTTTTTTAATTTTTCAGAGAGACAAGGTCTCTCTCTGTTGCCCATGCTGGTCTAGAACTACTGGGCTTAAATGATCTTTCTGCCTTGGACTCCCAAAGTGCTGAGATTACAAGCATGAGCCACCATGCTGGACCCTGATGTGTTTCAAAACTTTGTGCATAGGATCTAAAAACCTATGAGTTATTCTAGAGCTCTTCCTCCTTTTTCATTGCTCAGTTCCAACCTGACACTGGATTCTATTTCCCTAATTGTGGTCCTTCCTGTGTTTAGCTCTTTAGCTCCATTGTTACTGCATTTATTAAGACCTCTATCATCTTTCCTATGGAATGTTGCAAAATTCTTCCACTTAGTTCTCCAGACTTTCAGGTTCACTCTTACATGTTTTATTCTGAATCAACCCCAAACATAAACCTGTTCATCCAACTTCTTGATTAACATCCATAAAAAGTTCCCCATTGCCTAGATAAAATGCAAACCTCTTAGAATAGCACTCGGGATGCTTCATGCTTGCTTCCAGCCCCAAGTTCTACACTAAACTCATAGAGAATTATAATCAGAGAACTGACTACAGTATTTTTTTTTAACTAATTATGCAGTGTCTTTCTCCCTGGAACATCCCTCCTCCCAAACTCTTAAGAATCTTTCAAGGCTCTGCTCAAACATCTCCTATTTTATGAAGCCTTCCCCTCCCCTGACTCACTCAGGCACAGTTCTCATTATAACTGCCTATTAACTTTGTACATAAATCAATTACAATCATTATAACATGAAATTCTGTCTTTTTCTTCCTTACTTGTTGGTTTTCCAAACACAGTTGTGAGCTCCCAAAGGCAGGCACATAGCTTATTTATTTTTGGCTTTTTACCGTTTAGTATTATGCTTGGAGTTGGTACAGTGGCTCACATCTGTAATCCCAGCACTTTGTGAGGCTAAGGCAGGAGGATCACTTGAGGCCAGGAGTTCAAGGCCAGCCTGGGCAAGACATTGAGACCCCCCTCTCTACAAACAATTTTTAAAAATTAGCTAGGCATGATTGAATGCACCTGTAGTGTTAGCTCCTCAGGAGGTTAAAGTGGGGGGATAACTTGAGACCAGGAGTATGAGGCTGCAATGACCTATTATCACACCACTGAATTCCAAGACCCTGTCTCTGGAAAAAAAAAAAAAAAAAAATTAAAGGTAGATCAACTGATATTCTTGGAATTCACAATATTCCAAATTAAAATAAAAAATTCACTCAGTAAAGATCCTACTCAAGAAATCTAAGAAGATTATTTAACCTTCCTCATCAATTTCTCTCATACTGAGGGAAAGGCCTATTTTAGACTATAACAAAGCACTAAAATAAAGTAAAACAAGTTTGTCCCATTCTTTAGGTAGGAGAACAAGAATGTTTCATTTCTTTAGTTTTTAAATCTTTTTAAAATTTATTTTTAAATTTTTCTTTATTTTTATTTTTTATTTTTATTTTTTTGAGATGGAATCTCATTCTGTTGCCCAGGCTAGAGTACAGTGGCGCAATCTCGACTCACTGGAACCTCTGCCTCCCAGTTTCATGCTATTCTCCCGCCTCAGCCTACCGAGTAGCTGGGATTAAAGGTGCCCACCACCAAGCCTGGCTAATTTTTGTATTTTTAGTAGAGACGGGGTTTCACCATGTTGGCCAGGCTGGTCTTGAACTCCTGACCTCAGGTAATCCACCTGCCTCGGGCTCCCAAAGTGTTAGGATTACAGGTGTGAGCCCCCATGCCCGGCCATTTCTTTAGGTTTTTACATACAGATTAAAACACCATTGAAGTAAGATTTGTTACAAATAAGCTGAAATACAACAGACATGATTGACTATAAGTTAAAAGGGACTTTAAAGAAGGACTCATTTCCCCTTTTTTAAACTTTTTGTTTCTGTATAAAGGACAGGAACACCAACAGAGAGGGATTCAGGGAAGTTTATGACTGACAATTACTATGGGGTTGACTCAAGGTTTTCCCTCTACTATAAAGTACTTACAGAGTCAAGAGAGAGTAAGTGAAAAAAGATACCAGCATCTGCCTTAAAGAGCTCTTTTAAAAAAGAGGAATTATTTAAAAGAGTAAGTTTAAGTAGAAGCTGCTATGTCTATCCATTCTGGCTTTCTGCTCATCAAGATGTGTTTTCATGTGTGTCTGTCTATGTGAAGAACTCTCCAAGTACTGTTATTTTCCTTCGTTTGTCTTGTTTTTCCTTCAAGTTTTGAACATTTTACAGCAATGACAGAAAACAGAATTGTTTAGAGTCCAATATTCCTCATTAGTCATTCACCACAACTTGTAATAAAATGGATAAAAATAATGGGAAGCAGAGATCAATCACTACTCTGTTATACTGTGTATGAAATAATTTGAGATACAGACGCAACCCAGCAATGCTGGGGCCTGACTTGGGATATTTCAGAACACATACAGAAGTAATCATCCCGAGATGAAATCTTGTGACAGAAAGGACAGTTTTGGATTACAACTGATAAATCCTCACCAATACATGGCTGAAATCAGCCAACAAGTAAAGAGTATTGCTACAGACCAGGGAAACAGGGAAAGCCTGTTTATCTGTCTTAGGTGCTACGATTACAGTATGAAATGCTTATTCATTCTCTAATTGAATCTGAGTCAACAATGATTATAAACATCTGTGTGCAGAAAATTAAATTCAGATATCTATACCTTATGTTTTTATACTAGGCTAAATACAAAAAACATATTTATCTGCGGTTTATCCAAATCTCTTCATAGTATATTTACCCTAAAACTCCCACCACTCCCCACACATCTCCCAATCTTCATTTTCTTCCATTTGCAGGAATCCCACCCTAACCATCCTCCTGCTCACTCTCCTACCTGCTTCACTATGGGGAAGATTGCAGATGAGTATAAAATGGGAATGAAGTAGGCAAAGCCAGGGTGGAATTTAGGGGAACTTACAATTTGATGAGGAGTAGCCCAGATAAGGCCTGAATGGTGAATTGTGGTCTGATCGCGAAGGTTCTGGCTGGAGGGTTGGATTCATGCCTCTGGAATCAGAGGCATGTGTTAGATAGATTATACCAACAACAGTATTTAGGGTTAATTGACTAGAACAGAAACTGGAGACTTGAGAGTAGTTATGAAAAAAATCAAAATACCTTAATACACATGAAACTATGAGAACTTGGCTTTTGGCAGTGAAAGTGGAAGTGGATCAGAAAAGAAGGAATGAAAAAAAGAAAAAAAGAGATCCTATGCTAGAAACATGTAACTTTCCCCCTCAATCTCATAAATCTCAAATGCAGCATGTTCACCCCATAAAATGCTAGGTATCTGCTTGTTAGTCCCATACACTTATACTGCTCTCTCACTGATAAGGTAGAGGAAGAGGAAAGAACAAAAAAGATTAAGTGTTATCATGACAGTTCAGTGGTCATCAGCTAAGGACAGTAACATTTACTTAGGAAGACTAATGCTGAAAACATCATTCTTGTTAGAGAAATCTCCCTACCCCGACTCTGACCCACATGAACAAGAAGCATGAACCAGGCCATTAACGAACATTTTGTCACAACATCTAGATAACATAAATGTTGCATTTATCCAATGTTAGGTGGCTACCATGACTCAGAGGCTGCAGGGAGGCACCCAGCAGGCACTAGATTGGGGCAACAGCAGAAGTAGCAAACTAGAGCCTATGATTCTGGAAGTATTCCTACCAAAATTCTTCAGATAGTAAATGGAATGGAGAAACCAAATGTTAGAAAAAATTAGAAAGAAATCAGAATAGGGAAAGAATACCATAATGATCCTTTATGATTAAGAAAATATTACTATGAATTGTATTTACTTTGTGTAAACTGAACTGTGATGACTTATATAGTACTATAGAATAGAAAGTTTAAGGAGCTCTCAAGGTCATTCGGTCCAACTTCTCACTTTTACAGAGATCTTGTGTATAGAATCTCTAATATGTAACCAGCTGGCATCAACTACCATCATCTAAATCATAGCAATTTTTTCTGCCATTGAAAACTACAAAGGCATTTCATTTGGAGTATCTTAATTCTGAAGGTACCTTCAACTACATCCCTTTCACCTTTACTCATTCACAGTTCTGTTTACAGGAGGCAACTATGTCTATTCTATTTCCTTATGGTAATTTCAAGTATTTGCAGTTGTGTGTGTTTTTCTCCCATTGTCATCAAGATAAAATCCAAACTCCAGATTGGCAAAAGTCTCTTAAAATGTGATACTTAGACTCAAACACAGTATCCCAGAAATCATCTAACCAATACAAAGAATGAACACATTAACTTGCATGTTTTGGAAATTTATATTTCTTTTAAGACAGCCTAGTGTGCCTTACCCATTTAATAGACACCTCATTCATCCATTCAATAAATATTTATTTGATGCACACCATATTCCGTGCACTGTTTTATATGCTGTGATTAGGTAAAGAACAGAAACAGGTAAGGTCTTTGTTTTTATAGAGTTTATGTTAT